GCACTGTAACAAGTCTTGATTGTAATTTTGTGTTAAAATCCAACAGTTCTTGCAAAACAATGTATACTGAGAGCGGATGTTAACTGCAACCAAAGAGAATTGTTTCGTTTTTGCATGCTCACATCCGTCATCGGTAAAAAAGTTAGACGTACAAAACCGAAATACATGCATTTACGTACATCAGATGGCGCCGCTTTAAAAGTAGGGTAACAAATATGTATCGATCTCTCCTTATATTTCCTTCGTTGCAAGGAACATAATGAATTTCATTTAAGCTTTTGTATAGACATTCGGAATGAATGAGTTGCCAGTAATCAGATCCTTGTGTTTACACACAGATTTCTGGGATCGCCACGGGCAAACATTGCAAATCACTAGAAGGAAATGTACGGCGAACGTTTGTTTCGAAGTCCAAAAAAGACGATTTTAGCGAGAGATTTTTGGTTTTCGCCGCTCTTTTATCAGAAATGGATTTGGGTAATGCTGATACTAGAGAGGCTCAAGTTTTTGTTTGAAAAACCATGTAATTTGTAGTAAAATCTACCGATTAACTTGTCTCCATGCGCAAGGTTTATTGTGAATTTGACGTCGCGTAGTGGTCTCGACATTTTGAAAACATAACTAGAAATCGCCAAGGAATAACTCAACTAAGCCGTTTCAGTTTTTAGTACGTGTTAAGTCTCTTTCTAGCGTTTTTCGTGGCTTGGTAATACAAAAGAGCGCTAGAATAGCTAACTTGAGACAGCAGGAGGTTGAAATGACGTGTTTGATTATCAAATATTGCGGTACATTAAAGTGCTGAATCACCTACACTGCTTCTTTGTTGTGATGAATGCGAACGAATCAGCGTTAATAATCGGCTAAAAACTGAACCTTTTTTCCTGTGACGATTAGTGATACAAATTGGTCCCTTAAGGAGCGATGCACAACCGATGATATTTCCGCAGTTTCTGCTGGAATTCCCGCGATCTTGCTTTTCCTGACAAGATCCTTCAAGGAGTTCGAGGAAAAAAGTTGCAGCTCAGAGACCTTTGGATTTTTCTCAAACAAACTATCGCTTGAACGAGGGATTTCCTCATGTTTTTCATCGCTTATTTCATCCTTTCAGAGAGCAACAGCTCGGTAAAAATTATTTCCATCTCAGTGGACGACTTCTCTCCCTAAAGGAGGTATATTTTCAAACGTCGTAATTTGTTCATTAAATACGTTAACAAGCACGAAAACAAGCTGTACATATATAAATAAAACTGAAAAGAATTAAATGAGTTATTTCTTAGCGATCCCTGGCCAACTTTGTAATATTTCGGGACCACTACGCGATGACGATTTCACAATAGACCTTACGCAAGGAGAGAAATTTTCGGTATTTTTTTTATGACATATTTCGTGATAATTCCAACAAAAACTTACACTTCCATCCTATCAACATATCTCTATCCATGTATAATGAAACTGCGGCGAAAAAGCCATAATCTCTCGCAAAGTTCGCTTTTATTGGACGTCAAAAGAACCTTTCGCCATACGTTCCTTTCCCTTGTGGCGATCCCAGAACTCTTTGAGCAAACGCAAGGATCCGATTACTGGCAACTCATTCATTCATATTCAATGAGGTATCATTTCTCACTTACATGAAGCAAAATGCTCTCGACCATGACATCACGTGATTCTTACAATATTTCCTTCCTATTCAAGTTAACACCCTTCTAAGATAAACGGAGAGAGCAATTTGTTGTCTTTTAAGGGTACAACACTTATCAACCTATCCGTTCCTCTTATTTACCAACTTTGTCTTCGATGACGCAAATCGCACTTGCTGGAAAATGAACAGCTCATGAATAGATAGTCATCGAGCACAAATAGCTTACCGTTCCGAGATAGAAGCTCCAAGTCAGCACTGTAACAAGTCTTGATTGAAATTTTGTGTTAAAAATCCAACGGTTCTTGCAAAACAATGCATAATGAGACCGGATGTTAACTGCAACCAAAGTGAACTGTTTCATTTTTGCATGCTCACATCCGTCATGGGTAAAAAAGTTAGGCGGACAAAACCGAAATACCTGCATTTACGTGCATTAGATGGCGCCGCTTTAAAAGTAGGATAACAAATATCCGTCTCTCCTTATCTTTCCTTCATTGAAAGGAACGTAACGAGTTATATTTCAGATTTTGTGGTGGACATTTGGAATTCATATTAGTCACATAACTGTTGGAGTTCTGAGCGAGGTTGGTGCATCAGTAGAAAAAAATCCATGGTGAAAAGTCGGAAATTTATCAAAATTATTTGTTTCGTCTCTTGTCACGCCATCAAACTGAACTGTAAACGGACTGAACTTGCTTAAAGCCAAGATTTAGGAGTCAATTTCTTTCGATCGCCCAAATTTCGGACAAAAATTGATGGGTCTAGTTTGAGGGAGACAATTTTCTTCCCTTCTATAGACTACAAATGTTATGACCGTAAAGTAAATAAACATTGTTTCTTTTCGCCATAAAAGTGATAAGTTGACAAACACTCACTCGATACCAACATTTTTATACATTCATGATATCTTCCTCAGCCAGCCATT